GCCCAAGTGTTTGGTCCCTACCACCCATGTGGGAGACCTGGAATAAGCGCCTGGCTCCTGGCTTCGGTTTGGCTAAGCCCTCGCCATTGCAGCCATTTGGGAAGTGAACCTGCAGATGGAAGATTTCTCTCTCTATATATATCTCCCTTTCTCTCTGTAACTCTGACTTTCAAATAAATACATAGAAGAAAGATGAGACCCTTGCAGGAGAAATTTTAGGGTTCCCTCTCCATGGTATTAGTTGCTTTGCCTCATTTGAACCATCACCCAAAAAGGCACAACCTGCTCTACAAATAATAAATGTAATCATTTGGCTCATTTTCAAAGTAAAGTTGTGAGTAGGTAACCAACTAGCATGGCAGCTTGCAGATATGTGAAAAGTTATAAGTAGCTAGCTATCAAAATAACTAGAATAACATGAACCTAGAAAGTTCTTACGCAAACAGGATAGTAGGTGTGGCCAAAACAGCTGAAGCAAACGCCAGGAAGATTGTAACCCCTCAGTACTCAGCCAGTGAAGAACTGCGGGGAGAAACTACAAGCTTGGAAATAAGGAGCTTGCTGTAAACCACCCGAGTGTGCTGGCCCCATAGGCTCCTGATCTTGCAAGATCACTAAGGAAGTTTCACTTTCCTGTACTTCCTGAGTCTGAGCCCATCCTTTGAGTGGATGGGTGAGGCTGTTTCTCATAATTGCTTTTATCGTTGCTTAGATGATAGTCAAACTCTGATTTGTTCCTCCATGGATGACATCAAGAGTTAAAAACTGATCATGGGGGCTGGCGCTGCTCCTTAGCGGCTAAAGCCACCGCATGCAGTGCCGGCATCCCATATGGGCACCGGTTCAAGTCCCGGCTGCTCCACTTCCAATCCAGCTCTCTGCTGGGGCCTGGGAAAGCAGTAGAAGATGGCCTAGATACTTGGGCCCCTACAGCCGCGTGGGAGACCTGGAAGAAGCTCCTGGCTCCTGGCTTCAGATGGGCCCAGCTCAGGCCAGGCCACTGTGGCCATTAGGGGAGTGAACCAGCGGATGAAAGACCTCTTTCTCTCTTTCTCTCTGCCTCTCCTCTCTCTGTGTAACTCTGACTTTCAAATGAATAAATAAATCTTAAAAAATTGATCATGACAGTTGTGTCATGTACTTATAAATGAGAAAATGATAAATATTATGTTTATTCATTATAATAAAAATTGTGATACAGCAAAGATCTAAAATTATAAGACTTAATAAGAGCATTTATGGGTAAAACTTTATACATCAGTTTTTAACAATAATTTTATGTCTATAAAACTGAAAGCACAGACAACAAAAGAATACTGACACCTATGTGGGATCCTGGATTGAGTTCCTGGCTGCCAGTTTTAGTCCGCCCCACCATTGCAGGCATTTGAGGAGTGAATCAGATGAGAGTGCTCTCTCTCTTTTGCTGTCTGTCTGTCTGCCTCTCTCTCTCTCTCTCTGCTTCTAGGATACATTTTTAAAAAGTAGATGTTTCACTACATCAAAATTAAAAATCCTTTTATTTTTATTTTTTTTTTATTTTTTTTTTTTATTTTTATTTTTTGACAGGCAGAGTGGACAGTGAGAGAGAGAGACAGAGAGAAGAAAGGTCTTCCTTTGCTGTTGGTTCACCCTCCAATGGCCGCCGCGGCCAGCGCGCTGCGGCCAGCGCACCGCGCTAATCCGATGGCAGGAGCCAGGAGCCAGGTGCTTTTCCTGGTCTCCCATGGGGTGCAGGGCCCAAGCACCTGGGCCATCCTCCACTGCACTCCCTGGCCACAGCAGAGAGCTGGCCTGGAAGAGGGGCAACCGGGACAGAATCCGGCGCCCCGACCGGGACTAGAACCCGGTGTGCCGGCGCCGCTAGGCGGAGGATTAGCCTAGTGAGCCGCGGCGCCGGCCCAAAAATCCTTTTAAAGAAGATTTATTATTTTTTTTTTTGAAGGAGAAAGAGAGAGAGAGATCTTCCATTCACTGGCTCATTTCCCCAAATGGCTGTAATAGTTGGAGCTGGGCCAGGCTGAAGCCTGGATCCAGGAACTTCATCTGTGTCTCCTTTGTGGGTAGCAGAGGCCCAAGTCAGGCAGGAAGGACAAATAACCTGGGGCTTGATATATGACCTGTTGTGAGGTGACTGTAGCTTTTTTTCCCAAGATACTTCAGCATAAACAATATATATATTATGTGTATATTAGTTTATTTTTTTTTATTTTTATTTTTTTTTTATTTTTTTTGACAGGCAGAGTGGACAGTGAGAGAGAGAGACAGAGAGAAAGGTCTTCCTTTGCCGTTGGTTCACCCTCCAATGGCCGCCGCGGCCGGCGCGCTGCGGCCGGCGCACCGCGCTGATCCGATGGCAGGAGCCAGGAGCCAGGTGCTTTTCCTGGTCTCCCATGGGGTGCAGGGCCCAAGCACCTGGCCATCCTCCACTGCACTCCCGGGCCACAAGCAGAGGGCTGCCTGGAAGAGGGGCAACCGGGACAGAATCCGGCGCCCCAACCGGGACTAGAACCCGGTGTGCCGGCGCCGCAAGGCGGAGGATTAGCCTAGTGAGCCGCGGCGCCGGCCTGTATATTAGTTTATAACTACTCCCCTAAGGATGGGCTGTATCCTATTTCAGAATATGTGTTTCAGAGATGGTTGGCTGATATTTAACAAAATGGACACATTTCAGAGGTGACAATTAAATCAACTTTAGGGGCCAGTACTGTTGCATAGCAGGTAAAGCTGCTGCCTGCGGTGCTGGCTTCCCATATGGATGCCAGTTCAAATTCCAGTTGCTCCACTTCCAACCCAGCTCTCAGCTATGGCCCAGGAAAGCAGTAGAAGATGGCCCAAGTCCTTGGGCCCCTGCACCCATATGGGAGACCAGCTCCTTTGGTTCCATTCTTAACACCTATTGAGGCCAGCACGGTGGCTTAGCGGGTAAAGCTGCCGCCTACAGTGCCGGCATCCCACATGGGTGCCGGTTTGAGACTTGGCGGCTCCACTTCTGATCCAGCTTTCTGGTATGGCTTGGGAAAGCAGTGGAAGATGGCCCAAGTCCTTGGGCCCCTGCACACATGTGGGAGACCCAGGGGAAGCTCCTGGCTCCTGGCTTCAGATTGGCGCAGCAGTTGTGGCTAACTGGGGAGTGAACCAGCAGATGGAAGACCTCTCTCTCTCTCTTTCTGCCTCTCCTTCTCTCTCTGTGTAACTTTGACTTTCAAATAAATAAATAAATCTTAAAAAAAAAAAAAAACCACCTATGTACCAAGATATAAAAGGGGTTGTGAGAAATGACATGAACTTCAGTCATGGGCCCAACTCCAAAGCTAAGACCTATTCATCGACCAGTGCAAATATCATCAGAAAGTGATGAGAATCTAGGAGAAAATGATCATATCAATTTGAATTGTATGACAGAGACAGAAGGGTTGGAGATAATAAGAAAATATATATGTAGTATAAAGAAAAGGTGGTTCCAGAATATTGCTACTCTAAAAAGCCTAATTTTAATTATGCAAACATGAATAACTGCTAGGGGGAGGAGGGCCCTAAAGAAACCATAACTATTTTTTAAGAAACCAGATGTATGTCATAGGAACAATTCTAATGTGCTAAGATGTTTTTATTGCCACATATAAAGATGGTATATAGGGCCGGCGCCGTGGCTCACTTGGTTAATCCTCCACCTTGTGGTGCCGGCATCCCATATGGGCGCTGGGTTCTAGTCCCCTTTGCCCCTCTTCCAGGCCAGCTCTCTGCTGTGGCCCAGGAGGGCAGTGGAGGATGGCCCAAGTGCTTGAGCCCCAGCACCGCATTGGAGACCAGGAAGAAGCACTTGGCTCCTGGCATCAGATAGGCGCAGGGCCGGCCATAGCAGCCATTTGGGAGGTGAACCAATGGAAGGAAGACCTTTCTCTCTGTCTTTCTCTCTCACTGTCTATAACTCTACCTGTATAAAAAAAAAAAATAAAAAAGATGGTATATAACCCAGAGCAATCCTGCCCATAAGAAACTTAATGGGGACACCATTGTAGCGCAGTGGATTAAGCTAACACTTCTGATGCCTGGCCTCCCCCATCAGAGTGATGGTTCAAGTCCTGGCCCTCTGCTAATGTACATGAGAAGACCTCAAATAATGCCCCATTAGTAGTTAGTCCTCTGCTACCCATGGAGGAGACCTGAATGGAGTTCTGGATTCTGGCTTCAGCTTGGACCATGGCCAGCCCATTGTGGCCATTTGAGGAGAGAACCAGCAGATGCAAGATCTCTTTCTCTTTCTCTCCTCCTCTCTGTCACTCTGCCTTTCAAATAAGTGAATAAATATCTTTTTTCAAAAAATAATCCTGGGCCAGCATTGTGGCATAGCAGATAAAGCCAATATGGGTGCTGTTGGAATCCCAACTGCTCCACTTCCAATCCAGCTCCCTTGTAATATGCCTGGAAAAGCAGCTGAGAATGGCCCAAGTGCTTAGGCCCGGACCACCCATATGGGAGATCCGGAAGAAGCTCCTGGCTCCTGGCTTTGACCAGCCCAGTTCCAACCATTGCAACCATTTGGGGATTGAGCCATCAGATGGGAGATCTCTCTCTCTCTCTCCATCTCTCCCCACCCCTTCTCTGTAACTCTGCCTTTAAAATAAATAAAGTTTTAACAATGAAGATAAAAGAATCTTAATGTAAAAGTAAACTCCCTTATGAGCAATAAAAAAGCAAGGAAAATAAACTATGACTTTTTTAAAAAAAGATTTATTGATTTATTGGAAAGGCAGAGTTACAGAGAGGGTGGGGAAAGAGACAGAGAGAGAGAGAGAGAGAGAGAGAGAGAGAGAGACTCTATTAGCTGGTTCACTCCCCAAATGGCTGCAATGGCCTGATCTGGGCTGGTGTGAAGCCAGGAGCCAGGAGCTTCTTCCAGATCTCCCATGTGGATACATCAGTCCAAGCGTCTGGGCCATCCTCTGCTTCTTTCCCAGACACACCAGCAGAGAGCTGGACTGGAAGTAGAGCTGCCAGGATGCAAACCAGTGCCCACATGAGATGCTGGCATCACAGGTGGTGGCTTTATCTGTTATGCCACAACGCTGACCCTGCTAAACTATTGTTATGGGTGAAATGTCAGCGGAGAGAATATTATTATCTCAGTTCTTCATCTCACATGTAAGAATTTCCAAGCAGGCAAGCAGAGAGATTTTTTAATTTTTATTTATTTATTTTTAAGGGAAAGGGTTTATTGGAGAAAACCCAGCAGACCAGAGAGAAGGGGCAAAGAAGGTCAAAGAGGCAGAAGGAGAACATAAGAGAGATCAAGAGACAGAGAGATCAGGAGACGGAGAGAAGGAGAAAGAGAGGAGAGAGAGGAGGAAGACACGTGTTCAGGAGCAGGTCATTTTTAAAACTTTGCCAGGGGGTGGGCAGGGATGTAAGAGCAGCCAATCCCATTAGGATGGGGGTGGAGCTTGACACTGGTGGTTGGGCCATGTGGCCACTTGGTTTCCAGCAATGGCGGCGGGGGCTACAGCCTAGGATGGTGTCAGAGTGTAGATCACACCATAGATAAGACTGTGCCAGTTTTCTAACATTCCCCCTTTTGTTTTTTATAAAGCAGGAGTTGTACAGGATTACATTAGTCCCAAAAGTCCAGGAGGGGTAGAAGGACGATGATCTGTGTTTAGAGCTACTTCCTGCTGACATGGGGTGATGAGGTACTCTTCGCTGGCATGGGGCGATGTCTCAAGCCCGCTGTCTCCCAGGTGAGGAGCCAAGTATATCCCTGTAGCAGCATTTGGTTGACCACCAGGTTGGTGAAGGCCTTGGTTCCATTATCATCTCCTGTAAACACTTACACAGACACTGTAGTATAAAAGACAGCGTGAGAATAGCGACCAATGATGCTAAGAGTGACATTAACAAGGTAATGAGAGGATTTCATAGAGGAGAGGAAATGGGGGGGTCTCTGGACCCTTGTGATGACTGATGGATGTGGTTTAAAGCTGATACCAGCCAAGACTGGGAGAATGGCCACTCATCTCTTGCAGGTAGGGGGTTTGTCTGTAGAGAAATTCTGAACAATCATACAACATTAGGAGGGGGAGAGGACCATCAGTACACACATGTTGGGAGCAGAGCCATTGATGTTAGAGTAGAGGCTATGATTACAAAGGAATGAGGCCTCAAGTGGGCTAGACAGGGTGTAGAACAAAGGACAGGGTCATTATTAAAGGACCTAAGAAAGGTGCTATCTAAGCCACAACTAAGTTTTCTGATTGAGAGGCAAAGAGAAACTGAGAGAAATGACTTGATAATAATCTGGTGGGTGGGGTACAGCGTAAGGGAGATGTGAAACTCCTTGGGAAGGCACCCTGTTGACTTCCATTACCTAGCTGGCCTGGGAGGAGAGCTGGCTAGACAAAGGCAGGTGGCAACTCTAACAGGAAATTTACAGTTCTGCCTGCGATGTTGCTGACCCTACTTGGCCATCTCCTCAGCAGCGGTGGTCACTTTGGAAGCTGGGCTGAGTGAAAGGCCTTTCAGCTTGGAGCCAGCAAGATCTGTGGCTCTGACCTGGGTGTCCTTTGACTCCAGGGCAGTTCCATTTCCGGTGATCCAACTCTTGGCTGGCAGAGCAAGCAGAGGGTTTTAAAAGAATGACTTATTAGAATCAAAGATCTCCAGCCAGAGCAGCATGGAGGGGAGCTCCAAAAGAGGAAAAACCCAAAGTGGTTGCTGGCAGTGGAGCACAATTTTGAAAAAAAAAACTTGACAATCAGATTGACATTCATTTACAAGGAGGGCACAAAACCTATCAAAAGATCTGATTGCCAACAGGAAAATGTGACTATTATAAATGTATATGCACCTAATTACAGGGCACCTAGCTATTTAAAATAAATGCTAAGGGATTTAAAGAGAGATATAGACTCAAATACAAGAGTAATGAGGGGGGGCAGCACTGTGCTGGCATCCCATGTGCATGGCGGTTCGAGTCCCGGCTGCTGCACTTCCGATCCAGCTCTCTGCTATGGCCTGGGAAAGCAGCAGAAGATGGTGCAAGTCCTTGGGCCATTGCACTCATGTGGGAGACCTGGAAGAAGCTCCTGGCTCCTGGCTCTTGGCTTCCTATTGGCACAGCTCCGGCCATTGCAGCCAACTGGGGAGTGAAGCAACAGATGGAAGACCTCGCTCTCTCTCTCTGCCTCTCCTTCTCTCTCTGTTTAACTCTGGCTTTCAAATAGATGAATAAATCTTAAAAAAAATATACAATAGTAATGGGAGACTATGGGCTGTTCAAAGCCATTCCTTCTCAAAGTGTCAATTTCACTTCTATAGATTGCCTTTTAGATGCTGTGTTAGTTATCACAGGTCAGGAAAAACATATGGTGTTTGTCCTTTGGGACTGGCTTGTTTCACTAAGTATGATGTTTTCCAGTTTCATCCATTTTGTTGCAAACTACACATTTTTTTTTTTACCGCTATGTAGCACATATCCCGCAGGTGGTGGCTTTACCTGCTACGCCACAGCACTGGCCCCGTTAATGGTTTCTTAAAAACTGTCTAAAGTAAGATAAAACCCATAGATTAAACTCAAGCAACAGAGACACATTTTGAAAGCTACATACCAGCACATCTGAGAATCTCAAATAAAACTCAGTGGATTATAAAAAGAATTGCTTTTGAAGACCTGAAAATAGTGATTTAGACAATTTGTCTTCACTAAGAACTAGACGAATGCTTTCCTTTGGGTACCTAGACTGATTAATTAAGGAACTGCTGTCAGCATAGGGTATCTGGGCTTCATGTCACCATCCATTTGCTAGGGTGTGACAGTGTGCTGGTTGTAGAGAGTATAGAAATATGTAGGTCAAATCTGCCTTTGAGATGCATACAGCCTTGTAAGAGGGAGACACAAAAGCATACACACTGTGATAAAGGCTATAAAAATAAATCTCTTTGGATATTGAAGAACAAAGGGTCTTCTTGGCCTAGAGATGTAAGGAAAGGTTAGAAAAATCTTCCTAAAAAGTAACATTTTGGCCAAGTCTAATAGTTTAAAAGCCATATATCAACTATCAAACTATCAAAGGTTTTATTTGTGCTAGCCTCACCCCTACAGATACTTTGACAGTATTTAAAAACTGAGAAACTTCACATACAATGCCATTTCAAAAAGTTCATAGAAAATGAAATTAAAAGATAGGTTTATTTTGATGCGAACATTTTGAAATCCACATGTAGTTTCTTCATAATCTGTTTGAAGATTCCTTTTTAAAGGATTTTATTAATACATTAGTTTATCAGATTTACAGCAAATGGGTGATAATTACTACAACAGAATTCTCATGTTAATGTTATGTTTTGTTTTAATTCTTTTTTTTTTTTTTTTTTTGACAGGCAGAGCGGATAGTGAGAGAGAGAGAGAGACAGAGAAAAAGGTCTTCCTTTGCCGTTGGTTCACCCTCCAATGGCCGTCACGGCTGGTGTGCTGTGGCCGGCGCACCACGCTGATCCGAAGGCAGGAGCCAGGTGCTTCTCCTGGTCTCCCATGGGGTGCAGGGCCCAAGCACTTGGGCCATCCTCCACTGCCTTACTGGGCCACAGCAGAGAGCTGGCCTGGAAGAGGGGCAACCGGGACAGAATCCAGTGCCCCAACCGGGACTAGAACCCGGTGTGCCGGCGCCACAGGTGGAAGATTAGCCTATTGAGCCGCGGCGCCGGCCCATGTTAATATTATGTTAATACAAGAGAAAGATTCAGTGTAGTTTCATAGATAAAATTCTGAGAATATAATACTACTTCTGGTGCTTGAATTTCCAAACACCTTTTAATTCCATTTTTACACAACTCTCCGAAATATTCCCTGTATATATGAACCTCTGCCTTCTGAAAAATGAAGGATTTGGTCACTGAGTTGAATTAAATTCAGTAAGGACTGCATCCTTTAAATGAGCCCATATTTCCCAGTGCCCTTGACATTCTCTGTCACACCAAGGCTGCTTCGCTTGTTTATGTTCCCTTTGCTGGCATTTGCACACTTTTGAGTATGCATTCTTTGAAGTCATCAAGTGTCCAATATGGTTATTAAGTGACATGGAAAACATATCAATCTACTGAGAGCCAATTCATTGAAATTCAGTTCACTGCATAGCAAATTCCACAAGTGCTTAATTTGCTTACTGATTGTCAAGCACTCGCATAAGACAAGGTAAATCCAACACCAACATTTGAGTGATTTGTCCTATAAAAATACAACAAGCCACTTTGACGGGGATGTGGGGGGGTAGGGGGTACTCCTTTTTTTCCCTTAGTTTTCTTCAGGGTGACAAAATATACTAATCTAAGTTTACCATATTAAGTATTTAAAAACTTTTTAGTTATATGTTTGAAAGGCAGATACAGGCAGAGGTAAACAGAGGAAAATACCTCACCCATTGGTTTAATCCCAAATTAACAGCCAGCGCTGCACCAGGCCAAAGCCACGAGCCCAGAATTCAATCCGGGTCTGCCATGTGTCAGGGACACAGTCACTTGAGCCCTGCTTCCTTCCAGAGTGCATATTAGCAGGCACCTAGAATTAGGAGTGGATCCAAGACTTGGATCAAGACACTCCAATGTGGAATGCAGACATCTCAAGTAGCTTCTTAACTGCTCCACCAGTGGCTGGCTCCATAGGAACTATTTTTTGAATGCTAAATACATTCACAATACTGTATAGCCACTATCTAGAACTCCATATACATTTAACAAAAACTTCCCATCCCCTATCCCCATTTCCTTAGCCTTTGCTAACCACCATTTTACTTTATATCTCTATGAATTTCACTCCTCTTGATACCTCATACAAGTGAACGCATATATTAATTCTTTTTCTGACTGATGCATTTCTCTTAGCATAACATGTGTAAGACTCATCCATAGGGCTGGCGCTGTGGCATAGCAGGTAAAGCCACCACCTGCAGCACCAGCATCCCTTATGGTCACCGGTTTGAGTCCCAGCTGCTCCACTTCTGATCCAGCTCTCTGCCTCTCATTCTCTCTCTGTGTGACTCTGACTTTCAAATAAATAAATAAATCTTAAAAAAAAAAAAAGACTCATCCAGTGAACACATGACAAGATTTCCTTTCTTTTTAAGCCTGAATAATCTTACATTGTATATATACATAGTTTTTTTTTTTTGACAGGCAGAGTGGACAGAGAGAGAGAGAGAGACAGAGAGAAAGGTCTTCCTTTACTCTTGGTTCACCCTCCAATGGCTGCTGCGACTGGCGCACTACGGCCAGCGCACCGCACTCATCCAAAGCCAGGAGCCAGGTGCTTCTCTTGGTCTCCCATGCGGGTACAGGGCCCAAGCACTTGGGCCATCCTCCACTGCACTCCCGGGCCACAGCAGAGAGCTGGCCTGGAAGAGGGGCAACTGGGACAGAATCCGGTGGCCCAACCGGGACTAGAACCCAGTGTGCCGGCGCCGCAGGCAGAGGATTAGCCTATTGAGCCACGGTGCCAGTTATATACATAATTTTTTTAGTCTTTCCTCTGGTGATTACCATCTGAGTTGCTTCAACTGCTAGGCTATTGGGCATAATCCTACAAACATAAACATACAAATGTCTATGAACATGAAATATTCCTTCTTGGTCTTATTTAAGTCTTTTTTTTTTTTTTTTTGACAGACAGAGTGGATAGTGAGAGAGAGAGACAGAGAGAAAGGTCTTCCTTTGCCGTTGGTTCACCCTCCAATGGCTGCCACAGCTGGCGCGCTGCGGCCGGCACACCACGCTGATCCAATGGCAGGAGCCAGGTGCTTCTCCTGGTCTCCCATGGGGTGCAGGGCCCAAGCACTTGGGCCATCCTCCACTGCCTTCCCTGGCCATAGCAGAGAGCTGGCCTGGAAGAGGGGCAACCGGGAAAGAATCCGGCACCCCGACCGGGACTAGAACCTGGTGTGCCGGCGCTGCTAGGTGGAGGATTAGCCTATTGAGCCCCGGCGCTGGCCCTTATTTAAATCTTTTGAGTATATACTCAGAAATGAGATTGCTGGATCATATGGTAATTAAGTTTTTGATTTTTTGAGGAAGCACCATACTGTTTTTCATAGCTGCTGTATCATTTTACATTTTTACCAGCAGTGTGCATGGGTTCCAATTTCTCCACATCCTCACCAACACTTGTTATTTTCTGTGCATTTGTTTTATTTTGTATTGTTTTATAGTAGACATCCTAATGGGCTTGAGACCACAGCCAACTTCAGGTTCAGACAGTTTAGTGCTTGGACAGTGAGTGAAGGGAAGAGTTGCTGAAGTGCCAGTAGCCCTTGTTGCACACCCCCCAAAATAGACACACATACACATAAAAAGAACTAAAGAGCCCACTCAAATACCTGCAACAAAAAAAAAAATACCTGCAACACAGGTTGTGGATATCCTACTACTAAGGAACCAATTTCATATCCCATGGCTCTTTTCCAAGGGGGCTCAAAGCCTCAGATCTCACCCAAACCGCAGGGACCATGAGAAATTGTCTCATGACAGCATTCCAGAGAAGAAGGTGAGCAAGAGATGGACCAGGAGCTACTTCTCTAGGCCTCCCCTCCTCTGTGTCTGGGAGGATCGCATGGCATCAAGAATTTTATAGGTTGTAGTTTAAGTTTTTGCCTATGTCACCTATGTGAATATGTGCAAGGTCACCAGGGAGCCAGGGTGGAGTTGTTCCCTCACACTGGTCAGTTCATAGGATTTATCAAATATACAATGGATGCTTTTAGCACCTTAAAAAGTTTAACAGACTCAACAAAAAAAATTTTTTTAATTTATTATTTGAAAGGCAGAGCATGGAGGGAAGTAGAAAGCAAGAAACAGAGATCTTCCATCTGCTGGGATATTCCCCAAATGGCCACAACAAACTGGGCTTGGCTAGGCTGAAGCTAGGAGCCAGCTACTCCTTTAGGGTCTCCCATATTGGTGGCAAGGGCCCAAGTACTTGGACTATCATCTCTTGCCTCCCAGGAACATTAGACAGAAGCAGGATCAGAAACAGAGCAGAAGGGACTCGAACTACCATTCTGATATTGGATGCTGGAGTGGCAAGTGGCAGCATAACCTGCTGTGCCACAACCTCAGCCCCCAAATTTTTTAAAAATTTAATTATTTTATATTTCATTTTATTTGAAAGGCAGAGAGAGGGAGAGAGAGACAGAGAGACAGAGACAAAGAGATCTTCCATCTGCTGGCTCATTCCCGAAATGCCAACACCAGCCAGCCACGGGCCAGGCTAAAGCCTAGAAACTCTGAGTTTCCCACATGGGTGACAGGGACCCAAGTATTTGAGCCATCACATGCTTCCTCCTAGTAGTAAGTTAGATCTGAAGTGGAGTAGTCACGACTTGAATCTAGGACTCCATTATGGAATGTAGCCATCTAAAGCAGTGAGTTAACAGCTGTGCAACATATCTGCCCCATAAGTGCTTTTTTTTTTTTTTTTTTTAAGATTTTAGTTATTTATTTGAGAGGTAGAGTTACAGACAGAGAGGGAGAGACAGAGAGAGGTCTTCCATCTGTTGTTTCACTACTCAAATGGTCGCAAAAGCCACAGCTGAAGTCAGGAGCCAGGAGCTTCTTTGAGGCCTCCCATGCAGGTGCCCCAGCACTTGGGGTGTCTTCCACTGCTTTCCCAGGCCATTAGGCAGAGAGTGGGATTGGAAGAGGAGCAGCCAGGACATGAACCGGCGCCCATATGGGCCCCATAAATGTTTTAATAGATGCTAAATATTGTTTATTGAAGAACTAGGTATCTCTTAATATTATTGAAGCTAAAATGAATGTTCTATGGAGAAATTGGTGAATCAATCCTTAAAATTCTAAGATTGATTGAAAACAAGCAGCTAAGATGAGCTAAGATGAGCTCAGGGAGGACAGTAACTTCCTGTGGGGAAGAAGGGCAAACGCACTCTTAATCTCAATTTTCAGCATGAATACAGACTGTGAAAGCAGGGCCTTTCCATCCTCCTGACCTTTTGGTTTGAAGCAGGATGTGCAGGAAAATTGTCACAGGGATTACTGGTTTGTGGCACTAAGTATTCACAGCCACACAGCTATTGTGATCCTTCAGTGTCGGCTCTTCCTAGTACTTTGAAGCAGAATTCACAGAGGCTTGAGTTTTTCACCCTTAAAAAAGTAAACAACAACAAAAAAGATTACTAAATAGGAATCATTATATATAGAAATATTTTTGTGTGAAATGCCAAGTTTCCAACAAAAATACAATATTTCCTATTTTGGCTGCTTCTTAAGTGTTTCAGGTATTTTGAAAAAAGTTCATATTATAGGTAATATAAAAAATTCTCTCATTTCAAACTCAAGGTATTATATTACTTTTTATCCAATGGCATATTAGCTTTCCTTTTGTTTTTCTCATGTTTGTAATTTAAATTAAAATATGATTTAATATATTTAAAGTTACACTTATGAGGAATAAGTTCTGGTGAACAGCTACATAGTACAGTGATTGTCAATAATCATGTACTGTATTATATATTTCAAAATTACAAAAAAGTAGATCTTAAATGTTCTCAGCACAAAGTATGTGAGCTGATGGATTTATTTATTTGCCTGATTTGATCATCCCACAAGCATGCATCTACAGAAACATCACATTGTACCGATAAATGACTACATACAATTATAATTTGTCAATCTGAAATACATATAAATTAAAATATAATATAAAATGAAAGTCAAATTAATTTCATTGATGTTCTACAATTTAAATTCAAAAGCAACTAAAATCAAGATTATTCAAAGGGCCAGTGCTGTGGCTTAGCAGGTCAAGCCGCCACCTGTAGTGCTGGCATCCCATATGGACCCCAGCTGGGTCCTGGCTGCTGCACTTCCGATCCAGCTCTCTGCTATGGCCTGGGAAAGCAGTAGAAGATGGCCCAAGTGCTTGGGCCCCTGTACTCACGTGGGAGACCTGGAAGAAGCTCCTGGCTCCTGGCTTCAGATAGGTGCAGCTCTGGCCGTTGCAGCCATCTGGGGAGTGGACCAGTAGATGGAAGACCTCTCTCTGCCTCTGCCTCTCTGTAACTTTGCCTTTCAAATAATAAATAATATTTTTAAAAAGATTACTCATTACAATTCAATGACATTTAAATGTGACCTTTGCATTTCTAACAAAGGGAAATTGAGAGCACTTTGCAGAAAAATTAGATACTGAGCAACAAACAGTCAAAGCAGCAGAAAGAGAGTGAAGAGTACTAAACAGAACCATTAACATGGATATTAGGTTTAAAAGAGTAAATAGGATATACAGTAACAAAAATCATTAAATTGTGAAGGAAGATGTCTTTTAAAATGTATTTTTCTAAAGCTGTTAAAGATGAAACCAAAGTGGGTAAGACTGCCATCTGGGATGCCGACATCCCATATGGGCACCAGTTCCAGTCCCAGTTAATCCACTTTCCATCCAGCTCCCTGCTAATTTTCCTCTGGGAAAGCAGAGGAAGACGGCCCTAGTGCTTGGGCTCCTGCACCCACGTGGGAGAACTGGAAAAGCTCCTGGCACCTGGCTTCAATCTGGCCCACCACTGGCTGTTGCAGTCATTTAGGGAGTGAACCAGCATGGAAGGTCTCTCTGTCTCTCCTTCTCTCTCTTTCTATAACTCTGCTTTTCAAATAAACAAAATAAATGAATAAAAAAAATCCCAGGACTTTCAAATAATACTTTTTAAAAAAAATGATGGAAGCTAAAAAGTTGCAAAATATATCTTACTATTGGTATACTTTGGATAGTAATTTGAGTGTTCCCACAAAGGGTCTTGTGTTAAAGACTTGGTCACAGAAGTCTTTTTGTCCCCAGAGGCCTATGTTCATAGTATTAACAAGGTAGACACTTAATGCAATTATTGTGTATGGAGGAAAGGCCTTTGAAAAGTGATTGGATTGGATTAGGTTGTTAGGGTAGAGGTCACATTATTCAATCTGGTGGTTTTTTTTTTTTTTTATTTGACAGGTAGAGTCATACAGTGAGAGAGAGAGAGAGAGAGAGAGCAAGAGAAAGGTCTTCCTTCCATTGGTTCACTCCCCAAATGGCTGCTACAGCTGGCGCTGCACTGATCTGAAGCCAAGAGCCAGGTGCTTCTTCCTGGTCTCCCATGCCAGTGCAGGGGCCCAAGCACTTGGGCTGACCTCCATTGCTTTCCAAGGCACATTAGCAGAGACCTGGATCAGAAGTGGAGCAGCTGGAAAATTATCTGGTGCCCATAGTGGTTGCTGGTGTTGTAAGCAGAGCTACACCACAGCGCTAGTCCCTTCTTTGTGTCTTAACTTTTTTATGGTTGGCTTATAGCTTTCAGTGTTGAGATCTTTTGCCTCCTTGGTTAAATTTATTCCTACAAATTTTATTTGATTTTTGATTTTTGTGGCTATTGTGAATGAGACTGTTTTCTTGGTTTCTTTTCTGGATAGTTCATTGTTAGTGTTACTGGGGCTGGCGTTGTGGTGTAGCAGGTAGAGCCAACACCATATGGGGGTGCTGGTTCAAGTCCTGGCTGTTCCACTTCTGATCCAGCTCCCCACTATGGCTTGGGAAATCAGTAAAAGGTAGCCCAAGTCCTTGGGCCTCTGCACCCACCTGGGAAGACCTGAAGGAAACTCCTGGCTCCTGGCTTTGGATGCACACAATTCCGGCCATTGCAGCCATTTGGGGAGTGAACCAGTGTATGGAAGACCTCTCTCTCTCTGCCTCTCCTTCTCTCTCTGTGTAAATCTGACTTTCAAATAAATAAATAAAAATCTTTGAAAAATACTACTGATTCTCTGTATGTTGCTTCTGTATCTTGCAACTTTACTGAATCACTTTATTATTATATGGTTCCATCTTAGTACGCTGAATATTTTCAGCCTAAGCAATTTCAGAAACAGCAGGTGCAGGCAGGGTTCTGTGACCTTTCTGTGAAGCAGGTCAGAAGACTCTGTGTGAGAACTGCCTTTCTGATACCTGGGGGAAAGGAACATTTTTATCTCTGACAACAAAGGACTGCCAAGAGGAATCTGATTAAACAGCCTTTGCTGTTTTCAGTTTACTATGTTTTAGTATATTTAATATATTGTTTCCAGGGCCTGGCACTCTTCATTAACTATTTTTTTAGGTTCTTATATCCTTATGAAGGGTACTGATTCACATAAAATTTATTTTAGATAATTTTAAAAAGATTTATTTATTGGGGCTGGCACTGTGCCGTAGCGGGTTAAGCCACTTTCTGCAGTGCTGGTAACTCATATGGGCAGCAGTTCAAGTCCTGGCTGCTCCGCTTCCTGATCCAGCTCCCTGCTAATATGCCTGAGAATGCAGCAGAAGATGGCCCAAGTCCTTGGGCCCTTGCACCCACATGGGAAACCTGAAAGAAACTCCGGGCTCCTGACTTCAGCCTGGCCCAGCTCCGGCCACTGTGGCCAATTAGGGAGTGAACCAGTTCTCTCTTTCTCTCTCTCTGACTGTGTGTGTGTGTGTGTGTGTGTGTGTGTCTGTCTGTCTGTCTGTCTTTCCTCCTTTCTGTCATTCTGCCTTTCAAATAAATAAAGAATAAATCTTAATACAGAAAAAATTATTTATTTATTTGAAAGGCAGAGTGAAAGAGAGAGTGAGAGAGACAGAGAGAAAAAGATTATCTTCCATTTGTTGGTTCACCCCACCTCCCACTGAAATGCCACAACAGCTGGGGCTGAGCCAGGGCAAAGCCAAGAGCCACAAACTCTATCTGAGTCTCCTACATGAGTGACAAGTATTTGGGCCATCTGAGCAGCTAGAAATTGATGCCAGTGTCATAAGCGGCACCTTAGCCTCCTGAGTCACAAAGCCAGTTCCTTTAGATAAATGTATACACTTTTTTTTTTTTCCAAAGACTTTTTTCCTTTTTAAAGTACCCCTCCTGAAAGGAGAAGAGTACAACTTCCTGTCTTACTCTGTTTTGGGTACTACAACAAAGTACTAGAGATTGTTTAATTTATAAAGAATAAACATTTATTTCTTATGGTTCCAGAGGCTGAGTTAGGGATCAAGGGACCAGCACTGGTGTTTGCTCTGTTTACAAGATGGCACTTTTTTGCTTGTCCTTACAAGGTAGAAGGGAAAGTAAGATGGCTGAGCAATGGATGAAACCTCCTCTATAAATGCTTAACTGTATTCACAAGTGCTTCATCCTCATGATTTAATTATTTCCTACAGGTCTTTGTTTTGTTTGTTTGTTTGTTTTTTGTTTTTTTGACAGGCAGTTAGACAGTGAGAGAGAGAGACAGAGAGAAAGGTCTTCCTTCCTTTGGTTCACTCCCCAAATGGCTGCTATGGCCAGCGCGCTGTGCCAATCCGAAGCCAGGAGCCAGGTGCTTCCTCCTGGTCTCCCACGTGGGTGCAGGGCCCAAGCACTTGGGCCATCCTCCACTGCCTTCCCGGGCCACAGCAGAGAGCTGGCCTGGAAGAGGGGCAACTGGGACAGAATCCCTCACCCCAACCGGAACTAGAACCTGGTGTGCCGGCGCCGCAGGCGGAGGATTAGCCTAGTAAGCCGTGGCGCTGGCCACAGGTCTTTGTTTTTAAGATTATGTCCTACAGGTCTTTATATTTAAGATTTATTTATTTGAAAGAGTTACAGAGAAGGGGAGAGAGAGAGAGAGAGTGAGCGTTTCCATCCACTGGTTCACCCCCCCCACCCTGATGCCCACAGCAGTCAGGGCTGGGTCAGGCCAAAACCAGGAGCCAGGAACTTCTTCCAGTTCTCTCGCATGGAAGGCAGGGGCCAAAGCACCTGGGCCATCTTCTGCTGCCTTTTCCAGGCCATTAGCAGGGAGCTGGATCAGAATTGGAGCAGCTGAGACACGAATCAGTGTCCATATGGGATACCGACATCACATGTGGTGGCTTTTCCGGCTACATCACAATACCAGCCCAAAGTGCCTACCACCTAATCCTACCACATTGGTGATTAAATTTCAACACATGATGTGTGTGTGTCATTATCATAGCACTCCCCACTCCTGATATGTGTGCTGTGCACAGTCACTTTGTTCAGAAGTGTTGCATGCAAAGGGGTATCAAGGGATATATTTATTGTGGAGAAACCTATTACTTCATCCAAGCGATAAAGTGCAATGCCAACAGTCATAAATCATATTGGTAATATGTACTCTAGATATGATATGATAAAAATGACACCTTCCCTCTGTGACCCTTCTTCTTCCACAAACCCAGTAACTCCAACCTAATTATGGGAGAAAAGATCAGATACAATCCCAATAGAAGGACATCCTAATGATACTTGACCAGTTTTCCTGAAAATAGTCAAGGTCATTAAAAAGTAAAGTCCAAGAAACTGTCACAGCCAAAAGGAGCCTAACTATCATAAGTTTGAGATTGTGCCTTAAAAAAAAAAAAAAGAAATGACATTAGGTATAAACCAAGGAAATGTAACTAAGGACTTTGCAGTTACTACTACTGTGTCACTGGTCATTCATTAAGTGTAACAATGTAACATAATGTTGAGGTTAGTAATAAGAAAAGCTGTGTATGTGTGTGTGTGTGTTTAGTGGGGAGTACATGGAAATTGTAGCATCTGCTCAATTTTTCAGTTTATCTAAAACTGCTCTAAACAGTCTATTGATAACAAATTAATAAGGACAGCAATGGACTATAATTTCTTAACAAAAAGGAATCCATACATTCATGCCAATAGTGAGTAAGGACTCTTCTTTATAGCAGCATTTGAATTGACAAATGTGGAAGGTTTGAAGGAGTCTGTGTGGTGGGGAAAATCAACATTTCATAACCAATGTCACAGAAACATTATTCCAGAAACATTATCAATGGGATCTAAAGTATAATGTAAAATTTCATTAGGAGCAGGATATTTGCTTAGCCTCAAACTATTATCTCACACATTTCTATTAATTACAAAGGAAGAAATCACGGTGAAGGAACTGGACAACACTTTGATGAGAGATCAAGATTAATAACAACTTCTACTGACACTCTGTGACTCTGGATATATAATACCCTGAGAAGGTCACAACCTCATTTGTGTATTTGTTTCAAAGGAGGATGGATAACTTGAATTAAATCAAGGGAAACAATGGTGATATAATTAGTATTTGAGGAAGATTTTTTTTTTTTTTTGACAGGCAGAGTGGACAGTGAGAGAGAGAGAGACAGAGAGAAAGGTCTTCCTTTGCCGTTGGTTCACCCTCCAATGGCCGCCGCGGCCAGCGCGCTGCGGCCGGCGCACCGCGCTGATCCGATGGCAGGAGCCAGGCTTCTCCTGGTCTCCCATGGGGTGCAGGGCCCAAGCACCTGGGCCATCCTCCACTGCACTCCCTGGCCACAGCAGAGGGCTGGCCTGGAAGAGGAGCAACCGGGACAGAATCCGGCTGCCTGACCGGGACTAGAACCCGGTGTGCCGGCGTCGCTAGGCAGAGGATTAGCCTAGTGAGCCGCGGCGCCGGCCGGAAGATTCTTTGTAAGGGAAGGGATTGCTTTGGTGAGCCCTCTTGGTCATAGGCCTACTGGTTATATAATCAAATGTGGACTCCAGACTGTGATTTTAACTATTATCTTTTAAAATCAAAACGTTATATGATGTTGTTGGTGGGGTGGGAGGGTACATACCTACAGACAGAATGACTTAAAAACCAAGAGATTAGCAGCTTTCTTTGTAGTGACTTGAAAGAATGGGGACTGCTAGTTGTTTGATTCGTATATATTTTTAATTTAATAAACACATGGCGCTTATTCTTACCAGACACTCGGTATTCCAAGCGATATGCACATGACTGTCCATGAAAAAGCTCAGTAATCGGTGTTCGTTACCAGAAGCGTAACACTAACTGGTTTTTCTCAGTAGGTATTTTTATCTAGTATACGGGTACTCGCACTGCAATGATTCTTTTGACAGAACGTAAAATTACGCCTGGTCTCTCCGCTCAACGTCCGCGACCCAACCCTGCTACTGCTACAAATGTTGAGCTCCTTTTTGAGAAGTCGGCTGAGTCTTTGTCTCCTGGAAAGCCGGAAAAGCATTCACCGAGAGCAGTTTATACACCTGCTTGGGGATGCCAGGCCCTGTCCTTTCTTTTCCGGGGTGACTGCCAGAGAGGGTCGCTCCTGGTTTCTCGGGTTTCTGTGCTTCGGTGTTTGTAAATAACTTCCCCGCTCCAGAGGAAGGAACTAGTTCCGGTTTACGTTTTTGTCAAATTAGTGCGCACGGCACGCAATGGATTCTGGGAGACCAGCTCTCGGCGCAGTGGTGTACAGCCGCGGTGTGAAAGACGGCCTGCAGTTCCCACAATGCCTGGCGCGAGCCCGTAGTTCCTGCCTGGGTGGCCGTGAGGCGGCCGCCATCTTGCGTACGGAGGTGCGGCTTGTTGCCCGTAGCCTCCTGGCTGGGGCTCAGTCCTTCCAGCTCTCTGCTCCTGTGCGTCTTCTACGCGTTTTCTTTCCCCTTCACAGAGGTTTGCGTCTGTCTAAGGGAGGGCTCGTTGGAAAGTCCAGTTCCATGCAGAGCTGTAGAGTAAGGTGAGTGGATACCCCGTTTTTAGGGGTGTGGGGTGGTGTGTGGTGTTTTTCGGTTGCTTCCTTCTTTGGTCAGCGGCTCGGATCTGGCCGGACGCCTGGGATTACGGCATCGTAAAAGCCCAGAGTGGATCTGTGAGGCTCGGAGACCGCCGGAATTCCGAGGCAGGGCATGGAGCGTGTCTCCTTTGGGACAGAGAAGGTCGGGGACGCACTCGTCCCGAGCGGCTCTCGGAGGACGGCGCACCGAAGGGCCGAGGTTGGGTATGGGCCACACTGCGTGCCATGCCTTAGGACTTTGCGCTCACGTTTCCAGGGAGGAAGTGACCAGCGGAGAGTCCGCCGAGGAGGGGGCTGTTTCCGGTGGGATGGCCGGTGTCACGGTCCTGTCTTCCTCCAGGCCTTCTCTGTCCCACCTCCGTCATGCGCTAGTTTGTCTTTTTTCCTTTCTCTCGCCAAAGAGCGAGCAGACTAAAGGGCTGAACAAAACAGCCCTTTTTTGAATTGTATTCTTAACCATCTCTAAGACATTTCCAGAGAAACAGTTTTATTTCCCACATAGATCGACCACTTGAAAAAAAAAAAAATGAACGCTTTTGATTTTTTTTTTTAAGGATTTATGTGCTTGTCCATTCCCTAAATGGCCACAACGGTTGAGGCTGTGCCAGTCCAATGCCAGGAGCTTCTTCCTATCTCGGGTCTTCCACGCAGGTGCAGGGGCCCAAGCACTTGGACCATCCTCTGCTGCTTTCCCAGGCCATAGCAGAGAGCTGGATGGGACGTTCCGGAGCATCTGGGTCTTGAACCGGCGCCCGTATGGGATGTCGGCTCTGCGGGGGGGTTGTTACCCATTATGCCACAGCCTGACCCCAATGCTTTTTTTTTTTTTTAATTATTTCTTTATTTTTTTATTTTTTGACCTGCAGAGTGGACAGTGAGAGAGAGAGACAGAAAGGTCTTCCTCCTAATGCTTTTGATTTGAGGCAGCTGTCAGATTTTTTTCTGTAAAGCATGATGTACTGATGTCATTCTCAGTGCAACTTGAGTAATATTTTTCCTTTTAAATTATCATACTGCATTCATTTGATAATCACCTTTACACTAACTACTCACAGGAAAAGGGCCCACAAAAACTGACATTTCAGCTAACCTAACATTTGAATGCTAAAGGCATTTGGTTGTCTGAGTTTGGGAGCTGGAGTTACATCTAATAGCTTTAACTAGGAAGACCATTAGGATTCAAAGTTAGATCCAGATGTCAGTTTGGGTGGAAGCACAGTTGTGTATGTCAAAAAGTGTATACTGTTGATTTGATTCCCCAAACTTATCTAAATGATTTCACTTCTCTAAAGTCAGAAATGGATCATTTAGATTAAAGATGCTTTTTTTTTTAATTTGACATAAAGTTAGAGAGAGACAGAAAAAAAAGTCTTCCTTCCGTTGGTTCACTCCCAAATGGCCGCTATGGCCGGCGCTGCGCTGATCTGAAGCCAGGAGCCAGGTGCTTCCTTCTGGTCTCCCACATGGGTGCAGGGCCCAAGGACTTGAGCCATCTTCCACTGCCTTCCCCGGCCACAGCAAAGAGCTGGACTGGAAGAGGAGCAACTGGGACTAGAGCCTGGTGCCCATAGGGGATGCTGGCGCCGCAGGCAAAGGATTAACCAAGTGAGCCATGGTGCCGTTGTCAAAGATGCTGCTTTTTTTGTTTTGTTTTTTGTTTTTTGTTTTTGACAGGGAGAGTTAGAGAGAGAGACAGAGAAAGGTCTTCCTTCTGTTGGTTCACCCCCCAAATGACCACTACAGCTGGTGCACTGCACCGATCCAAAGCTAGCAGCCAGGTGCTTCCTCCTGGTCTCCCATGTGGGTGTAGGGCCCAAGCACTTGGGCCATCCTCCACTGCCTTCCCGGGCCACAGCAGAGAGCTGAACTGGAAGAGGAGTAACCGGGACAGAACCCGGCGCCCCAACCAGGATTAGAACCCGGGGTGCCAGCGCCGCAGGCAGAGGATTAGCCTGGTGAGCCGCGATGCGGGCCCAAAGATGCTGTTTTAAAAATAGCATATTTTTAATAGCCACTCCTGTAAATTATGCTGTGACAATACTTACATAATAAGTGGTTATAAAATTAGAATTTGACTGTAGTTGTCGTGAAGATGTTACCATCATAAATTTGTATTACAAATTTAAATGTTTTTCTAATTACTTGTTTATGAAGAAACTTGTTTAACTTCATTTTATTTATTTGAAAGGCAGAGTTATAGACCAGGACAGTGAGGGAGGGAGATCGTCCATCTGCTGGTTCACCCCCACGCTGGCCTCAACAGCCGGGGCTGGGCTAGGCCAAAACTGGAAGCCTGGAATTCCATCCGAGTCTCCCTTGTGAGTGACAGAGACCCAAGTACTTGGGCCATCTTGTGCTGCTTTTCTGGGTGCATTCGCAGGGAGCTAGATTGGAAGCTGAGCAGCTCGGGACTTGAACCAATTCTCGTGTGGGATGCTAGCATGGCAGGATGTGGCTTAAACCACTGCACTACAATGCTGGGCCTTAGTTTAATGTTTTAAAATGTTAACAAGAGGTGGGCACTTGGGGTAGTGGTTCAGGTGTTGCTTGGGACATCCAGTTCCCATATTGAGTGCCTAGGTTCAAGTCCTGGCTCACTTCCTATTCCAGCTTCCTACAAATGTGCACTTGGAGACAGCAGGTGGTGGCTCAAGTAGTTGAGCTCCTGCCACATATATGGGAGACACCATTTGAGTTCCAGGCTCCTGATTTTGGCCTAGCCTAGCATCAGCTTTTGCAGGCATTTGGGAAAGAAACCAGTGGTTGGCACATGTCTCCATATCTTTCTGTCTTTTAAATAAAGAAAATAAATACATTTTAAAATAGACTAATAATTGTGTATTTACTCCTCAGATGTCTCATGGTGAAATTGAAACTAAATTTTTGGGACCTGGAGAACTGGCAAATGGACCGTGCCATAAAAGATTGAAAGCAACTGCAGAGCCTTTTGTTTTCCCCCATCACAGTAGTACTGATTTTCACAAAATCCGAGAGAAAACTGGAAATGATTGGGTCCCTTTGACCGTTGATGGCGGAAGACATGGTTATCCTCAAGTGGACAAAACCAGAACTACAGATTTGCCGAAACCTTTGCATAATGAGATGCCTGAAAATAAATCAGATGCTATTAAATCCACTAATTCACAAGTTTTACAGGATGCAAGTCCTTCGTTGATAACTAGAGATGATGAAATATATAGTACAAGTAAAGCATTTATAGGCCCTATTTACAAACCCCCTGAGATAAAGAAATGCAATGGAAAGACAGATACTTTGAGTGGAATAAATGGCAAAAGAAGGCGAGAAGAAAAACAGAAATTTAACTCCAAAAAACTAGAGATTGACAGTGAATTGTCTCAGTTTTACAAAGAAATTGAAGAGCTTGAAAATGAGAAAGATGATTCAGAAAGCAGTTGTAAGGAACCTGAACCTTCTCAGGAACAACTTACTCCATATTACCAGGATCATAATAAGGATTTTTTAAAATCTGATGAAGAAAAGGAAGATTTTAGTAATGCTCTTCAGTCGCATTGTGATTATCAGCAGTGCTTGGGGGATGAGCCAGGCAACTATTTCCGTAATGGACAAGAAATAGCTGCATTTTGTGATGCTGCTTTTACTTCATTCAGGCCTGAATGGCAGTCAGTGCATCCTTTTGTAGTACCTCATGGTCCTCCCCTTCCCAATTTTGACTATCATTTAAATATTCAGCAATTCAGTGCTCCACCAAATCCACCGCCATATATTTTCCATGCCCAAGATGAATCTCTGACACAAAATGGATATTACGATAATAGTTGTCATGTTAAGTGGAATTCTTTGACTTTTGGTGAGAACAGTGATTCTGGCTATGGAGAGAACATTAGTGTTCATCCCTCTAGAAATGTCTGTGGTACACAAGATGGATATGTGAATGGTTTCTGTGAAATCATAGATGGATGCTGGAAAGATCCTTCTGTGGACAAGCATAATGGGATAGATAGGTTTGTGAACCAGCAGTTTCAAGAGGAAAAGTTCAATAAATTGCAAAAGTTGCTTATTCTTCTAAGAGGTCTGCCTGGTTCTGGGAAAACAACGTTGTCTCGGTAAGTAAAATTTACCAAGTGAATACTTGGTAGTTCATTATTTAATAATCGTGATACTTATCAATAACAATGCTCTCATGTTTCTGGTAGAAAGTATCTGTTATGTTTGATAATAACATCTGGCAGTACAAATATTTAAATCTGATAAGGGAGAAATGGCATTTATATTTAGATTTTGCTAAAGACTTTAAAAATAAGTACATTGTATAGACATGACAATGATGAAATCAAATGGGACTTGAAAACTTTGCTGGCTGGCCTTCCCTTTTAAATTCAGCTCTTCAAGAAGAGTTGGATGCAATGCTAGAATATTTGGGCTTTGACTCAGTTATTTCAGTTTTTGACCTTGAGCAAATTTTATTGTATGTTAATGTAATGAATGATGTTTATTTTCTTGGCATTATTTTGAGAGCCAAATGAGATGAGGAAAGGAATTTTGAGGGTGTTTAAGCACTGTGCCATGTTAGTACCATTGACTTGCAGGGCATACCTTTTTTTGGTTTCTTAAAATTAAAGGAGGTTGGGCCTGGCACTGTGACATTGCGGCTTAAAGCTTCCGCCTGCTGTGCTGGCATCCCAAATGGGATGCTGCTTTGAGTCCCAGCTGCTCCACTTCCGATCTAGCTCTCTGCTGTGGCCTGGGAAAGCAGTAGAAGATGGCCCAAGTCCTTGGGCTCCTGCACACACGTGGGAGACCAGGAGGAAGCTCCTGGCTCCTGGCTTTGGATTGGAACAGCTCCTGCTGTTGTGGCCAAATTTGGGGAGTGAACCAGTGGGTAGAAGACCTCTCTGTCTCTTTTTCTCTGCCTTTGCCTCTCTGTAACTCTTTTAAATAAATAAATAAATAAATCCTTAAAAAAGATTATAGGAGGTTAAGGTGAGCAATATCTGAATTAATGGAGTTAGAAATGGTGATGTTTAATTGTATTGCAGAATATTTTAGATTCCTGTTTTTACATTTTTAATCAATATTGATGGGTTTTAATACATTTGTGCAGTTGTGGAAAATGGTGCAGAGGAAGCCATTCACAATCTTTTCTATTTTTTTTTTTTTTAGATATATTTTATTTATTTTGACAGGCAGAATTAGAGAGGGAGAAACAGAGGTCTTGCATCTTCTGGTTCACTCCCCAAAGGCTGCAACTGCCACGGCTGGGCCAGGCTGAAGCCAGGATCCAGGAATTTCTTCCCGGTCTCTCACGGATGTAGGGGTCCAAGCACTTGGGCCATGTTCTGCTGCTTTCCCAGGCACTTTATCAGGGAGTTGAATTGGAAGTGGAGTAGCCAGGACTAGAACCAGTGCCCATATGGGATGCCATCGTCAAAGGTTTTACCTGCTATGCCACAATGCCAACCCCAATTTTTTGCTTTTTTTGTAGGATGATGCAAAGTTTATGCCAGATAAGGAGAAAAGAAAATATATTTGATATCTTTAAGTGATGATTAAAAAAATATCCCAGGAAACTCTTTCACAAATGTTTTATCTTTACTTACAAGGCAGTATAATCAGAAATAAAGTAAAGATTCAATTTATGATATGGATATTTCAGTGTAGATTACAAACTTTTCTTGATGAGTAAGCTTAAATTTTGGTCTTTGCATTTTTTTTTTTTTTTTTTAAACAGGCAGAGTGGACAGTGAGAGAGACAGAGAGAAAGGTCTTCCTTTGCCGTTGGTTCACCCTCCAATGGCCGCCGCGGCCAGCGCGCTGCAGCCGGCGCACCGCGCTGATCTGATGGCAGGAGCCAGATGCTTCTGGTTTCCCATGGGGTGCAGGGCCCAAGCACTTGGGCCATCCTCCGCTGCACTCCTGGGCCACAACAGAGAGCTGGCCTGGAAGAGGGGCAACCGGGACAGAATCCGGCGCCCCGACCCGGGCTAGAACCCGGTGTGCCGGCGCCGCAAGGCGGAGGATTAGCCTAGTGAGCCGTGGCGCCGGCATTTTTATTCCTCTTCAGTGAATATTCTCTTGAGATTTCAACTCAGTATAAAAAGCCTAAGGTCTCACAAGCATATACAGTCTTCTAGACTTAGGATCTAATACCAGAAAAAAAGAAATAAAGAAATAGTTGAAATTTGGAAGTTGGATAAAGGATAAAGCTAGATAGGATCATTTGACTAAGTGGATGTAGAAAAAAACAGTAAAATAGGAAGGTAGGTTTAGGGCAGCATACTGGAATATGTTGAAATGGGAGGTAAATAAAGTAGTGGTAATTCAGTAGAATTTCAAGGAGAATCCCTAGAGTGGGAGATAATAGAGATGATATATATATAAAATAGATGTATTTACTTGAAGAATAGGTATATACTATAAGAATAGCAATTAAAATGGCAGCAGGTGCCATTTATGTGTGATTTAGAATTTACAGAATACTTTATATATAAAAATCTTTGAGATGGGTCGTATTTTGAAATTTTTAAAATTTATTTTATTTGAGAGAAAAGATAGGGAAAGAGCTCCTATCTGCTGGTTCACTCCCCAAATGCCCATAGTGGCTAAGGGGCTGAAGTTGGGAGCCTGGAACTCAGTGTGGGTGTTTTGTGTGGGTGGCAGGAACCCAATTACTGATGCTATCACCTGATGCCTCCCGGGATACTCCTTAGTAGGAATCAGGAATCATGAGCAGAACTGAGATTTGAACCCAGGCACTTGAATATGGGATGTGTCCATTCTAACTGGTGTCTTACTGCTAAGCCAAATATCTGCTCCTCGCCTCCAGCCCCCTGCCCCAGCCACATTTTTATTTTATAGGAGCCAAAGACTAAAGAATGAAATTCTTTGGAGAAAGTACAAAGGCTAGTGAGAGACCAAACTAGGGATAAAATGACAGTGTATTTTTCCTTTTATTTTAATATCTACTGGATGAGTAGCTCTATACCTGAATGTCAGTCCTTTTTTTTTTTTTTTTTCATTACTATAACAAAACACTTGTGGCTGGATACTTAAAAATAAAAGAGATTTATTTAACTCCCAGTTCTGGAGGTTCAAGGGTCCACATATGTTGGTCACCTTTTTTGTATATATATGTTATATATATATATATATACACATATATATATATATTATTTATTTGAAAGGCAGAGAGCGAGTGAGCGAGAGACAGAAACAGGTTCTATCTGTTAGTTTGTTCCCCAAATGCTTTCAATAGCCAGGGCTGCATGATCCAAAATCCAGGAGCCTGGAACTCAGTCCAGGTCTCATGTGGATGACAGGGACCCAGTTACTTGAGCCATCACCTGCTTGCTCTTCCCAGGGTGTGCATTAGCAGGAAGCTAGAATCAGAAGTGGAGTAGGAATTTGAACCTAGGCAGTTGGGATGTAGCCATCCCAAGCAGTGTCTTAACCATTGTGCCAAATGCCTGCCCCTTTGTGATAGTCTTCTTCCTGGCAGACTCCTGAGGTAACATAGGGCATCACATGGCAAGAGACAGGGTGTTAGTGTCCTGTTCTTTCTCTGTCGTAAAGCACCACTGTTCAATCCGGGGGGCTCCACTTGATGATTTTCTCTTATTGTAATCACTTCCCAGAATCACTACCTCTTATAAACATCATGGTTGGATAAAGTTTCCACCCTCTTAATACCTCACAGTGTTGATTAATTTTCAACACATGACCCCTTTGGGGGCACTCAAACCATAGCATTGTTTCTGTTTCTTGACTTTTAAGGAATGTGGTTAAAGAGGCAGGAGTACCTTTAGGTAAACACTCTTTGAATGAAGTAGAATGGGATTGGCTATAAAGCCACATATGCTCTGGTGAGGAATGGTTTCATACAGGAATTAGCTTTCAAAACAAGATTTGAAGAAAGAAGAGCAAAGAATTCATAGATCACAGTTGAACTGATTTGGAGCATTAAATTAAAAGACAGCAGTGTTTAGTGTTTGCATGTGATGATGAGTATAGGCAGTTTGGTAAGATTGAAATTCTCTTGGAGTAGTGTTGAAGTCCCCTTCATCTTTAATTTAGTTCTTAACTACTTCTCCATCTTAATAACTTTCATGTCATATCTTGAATATGTACCTACACTCCACTACAGGAGACTTAATGTCATGTTCATCCATTGTTCTCAGGACTCTGCTTATATAACAGTTTTCTTTTTTTTTATTTTTTTTTATTTTTTTTTATTTTTAAACATTTTATTATATAAGGTGTATAAATTTCATGTATTTCATATATATAGATTTAGGAGCATAGTGATGCTATCCACTCTACTCTCCCTCCTGTCCACACTCACCCTCCCTCCTTCTTTTCTTATTCTTTTAATTTTACAATGACATGCATTCAGTTTAGCTTGTAGTCATAAGCTTAATAATCCATTATGTAAAGAATTCAATGAAAAGTAAGAAAAAAAAAACACTCTTCCACAACAGTAGAAACAAGGGCTGCAAACAAGAATCAAATCTCAAAATGTCAATTTTGCTCAAATAGAATAAATATTTTGTATTCAATTAGTTAGCACAGACAAAGGAAAACGTAAGGTATTTGTACTGGGGTACTGGCTTATTTCACTAAGCATAATGGTTTCCAATTGCATACATTTTGTTGCAGAAGAAAGGATTTCATTCTTTTTTCTTTTTTCTTTTTTTTTTATTTTTTTATTTTTTGACAGGCAGAGTGGACAGTGAGAGAGAGAGAGACAGAGAGAAAGGTCTTCCTTTTTGCCGTTGGTTCACCCTCCAATGGCCGCCGCGGCCGGCGCGCTGCGGCCGGCGCACCGCGCTGATCCGATGGCAGGAGCCAGGAGCCAGGTGCTTTTCCTGGTCTCCCATGGGGTGCAGGGCCCAAGCACCTGGGCCATCCTCCACTGCACTCCCTGGCCACAGCAGAGGGCTGGCCTGGAAGAGGGGCAACCGGGACAGAATCCGGCGCCCCGACCAGGACTAGAACCCGGTGTGCCGGCGCCGCTAGGCGGAGGATTAGCCTAGTGAGCCGCGGCGCCGGCCTATAACAGTTTTCTTAAAAGCTTCTACTTTTTGAAGTTTTGATTTGTTATCTCAGT